CTTTACTGTATGTTTGCCTTTACCAGTGAGTTTTTCCATTTGTAATTTTCTTGTTTCTAGTTGTGCCCTTTTCTTTTGCCCGTAGAGAAGTTCCTTTAGTATTTGTTACAAAGCTGGTCTGTTGGTGCTGAATTCTCTTAGCTTTTGCTTGTCTGTAAAGCTTTTGATTTCTCCATTGAATCTGAATGAAAGCCTTGCTGGGTATTCTTGGTTGTAGGTTATTCCCTTTCATCACATTAAATATATCGTGCCACTCCCTTCTGGCCTGCAGTTTCTGCTGAGAAATCAGCTGCTAACCTTATGGGAATTCTGTTGTATGTTATTTGTTGCTTTTCCCTTGTTGCTTTTAACATTTTTTGTCTTTAATTTTTTGTCAATTTGATTACTATGTGTCTTCGTATGTTCCTCCTTGGGTTTATCCTGCCTGGGACTCTCTGTGCTTCCTGGACTTGGGTGACCGTTTCCTTTCCCATGTTAAGGAAGTTTTCAGCTGTTATCTCTTCAGATATTTTCTCAGGTCCTTTATCTCTCTCTTCTCCTTCTAGGACCCCTATAATGAGAATGATCATGCATTTAATGTTGTCCCAGAGGTCTCTTAGTCTGGCCTCATTTCTTTTCTTTCTTCTTTGTCCCACTGCAGTGAATTCCACCATTCTCTCTTCCAGGTCACTCATCCATTCTTCTGCCTGTTACTCTGCTATTGATTCCTTCTAGTGTACTTTTCATTACAGTTATTGTATTGTTCATGTTTGTTTGTTCTTTAGTTCTTCTAGGTCTTTGTTAAACATTTCTTGTATCTTCTCGATCTGTGCCTCCATTCTTTTTCTGAGATCTCAGATCATCTTTACTATCATTACTCTGAATTATTTTTCAGGTAGATCGCCTATCTATCTCCCCTTCACTTAGTTGTTGTTCTGGGGTTTTATCTTGTTCCTTCATCTGGGACATATTTCTCTGCCATCTCAATTTGTCTAACTTTCTGTGATTGCAGTTTCCATTCTGCGGGCTGCAGGATTGTATTTCTTCTTACTTCTGCTGTCGCCTCCCCCTGGTGGATGAGACTGTTTAAGAGGCTTGTGTAGGCTTCCTGGTGGGAGGGACTGGTTCCTGCCCATGGGTGGGTGGAGCTGAGCCTTGTCCCTCTGGTGGGCAAGGCTATGTCAGGGGGTGTGTTTATCAGGCAGCTGTGTGCTCAGGAAGACATTAAGCAGCCTGTCTGCTGATGGGTGGGGCTGTGTTCCTACCCTGTTGGTTATCTGGCCTGAGGCGTCCCAGCACTGGAGCCTACAGGCTGTTGGGTGGGGCCGGGACTCAGTGAGAAAATGGCAGCCTCCAAGAGGGCTCATGCCAATGAGTACCAACCAGAACTACCACACTACCACCACCAGTGTCCTTGTCCCTGCAGTGAGCCACAGCTGCCCCCACCCCCTGCTTCTGCAGGAGACCCTCCAATACTAGCAGGTAAGTCTAGCCCAGTCTATTGAGGTCACCGCTTTTTTCCCCTGGGTCCTGGTGCATACAAGACCCTGCGTGCACCCTCCAAGATAGAGTTTCTGTTTCCCCCGGTCCTGGGGAATCCCTGTGACCAAAACCCACTGGCCTTCAAAGCCAGATTCTCTGGGAGCTCCTCCTCCCATTGCCAGACTCCCAGGCTGGGGAGCCTAACACAGGGCTCAGAACTTTCACTCCTGTGGGAGAACTTCTGTTTCCAGTTTTTGGGTCACCCACCTGGCATGTATGGGATTTGATTTTATTGAGATTGCACCCCCTCCTACTGTCTTGTTGTGGCTTCTTCTTTGTCTTTGGATGCAGGGTATCTTTTTTGGTAGGTTTCAGCATTTTTTGGTCAATGGTTGTACAGCAGTTAGTTGTGATTTTGGTGTTTCCATAAGAAGTGGTGAGCTTACCTTCTACTCCGCCATCTTGTCTCCTCTCAAGTAACAGTGAATTTAAATGCACAGTTCTGGAGGTTGGAAGTTCAAAACCAGTCTCACTGGGCTAAAGTCCAGGTGTTGGCAGGGCTGGTTCCTTCTGGAGGCTCCCGAAACATCTAGCTTTGAAAATGAAGGGGCTCACATCCATGAGACCCACAAGGCTATAAGCAAACTGAGAAACAGTTCTTAAAGACTTACCTGGCTACCCCCCAGGACCCAGCACTAAGGCAGCTGACTGAAAAGTGCCCAGTGAAAGAGGCGTATCTGCTTGTCTGGAAGTTTCAGTCTGAGGGGCAGTCATCTAATTTAACATACATCTAGGAGCCAACTGAAATACTCTCCAAAGATGGATGCTTGTGGCTGCCATCTTTGCCCTGTCCCTCCACCTCCCTCCAGGATCCTGGAATCTCCTGGAAAAGAGTTTGTGCACTCGTCTGGTGCACTGTTTTTTGCAGTTGCCACCCAGAGGCTACCCCTTGATTTCCTGGGTCTGTTGGCCAGCACGTCTTGTGTTCATAAATCCCACAGAACTGTAACAAACAGAGAAGGAGTTCTTAACCAGCTACACTCAGGACACAGTGGAGAGGCAGCAGACTGAAAACCCAGTCTTTCTGTGAAAGAGGACTATTAGTTTATCTTCATAGCTGTGGCCTGAGGAGCAGAATTCTAATTAAATACACATCTAGCGGCTGACTACAATCATTCATCAGAGGCCACTGGGCACACCATCTTCACTCTCAACCTATGCCGTACCCCAGATCACCAGTGTCTCCAAGAAAGGAGCCTGTGTACCCATCTGTACCCCTTGGCTTTTTTGGCTACTGCCCAGAGAACACATCCCTTGATAGCCTGGCTCTTGGCCAACATGGCTTGTGTTCATGAGTGCAAGAGATGAACAAAGCGAACAAAGCAAACAAAGAAATGGTTCTTAACTGGCTGTCAGTCACCCCAGGGCTCAGTGCAGAGGGAACAGACAGAAACACCCATCTCCCAGTCTTCCCCCAGAAGAGGTATATTTGTATACTTTCGAAACTGTGGGTTTGGCTCCCAATCTGCCTGAACCTTTGTGCTGACTGAGATACTCCCCTTTGGGATACTGACAGGTCTTGGCACACCCTCAACTACTGGAGCCATTAATACTAAAGTAAGCTTCTTGGATAATCATAAAAGTTTGAGAGAAAACCCAGAGCTGGGGCAGGGTTGAACAGTAAGTTCACCTCTTACACAAAGCCACTCCTTCAAGACTGGAAGAGATGGTTGTTTTATGTAATGCATAGAAACCAACACAGAGAGTCAACACAGAGGAATATGTTCCAAATGAAAGAACAAGATAAAACCCCCGAAAAGAGCTTAATGAAATAGAGGTAGGTGATTTACTTGATAAAGAGTTCAAAATAATGGTCATAAAGATACTCACTGAGCTCAGTAGAACTATGCATGAACAAAATGAGAATTTCAACAAAGAGAAAGAAAATATAAGGAAGTACCAAATAAAAGTCATAGAGCTGAAAAATACAGTAGAGGAGTTCAACAGCAGACTAGATGAGGCAGAAGAAAGGATAAGTGAACCGGAAGACAGGACAATGGAATTCATCCAATCAGAGCAGCAAAAAGAAAAAGAATGAAAAAGAGTGAAGATGGCTTAAAGAACTTATGGGACAACATCAAACAGACAAACATTTGCATTATAGGGGTCCCAGAAGGAGGAGAGAGAGAAAAAGGGATATAAAACTTATTTGAAGGAAAAATGGCTGAAAAGTTCCCTAACCTGGGGAAGGAAGCAGTCATCCAGATCCAGGAAGCCTGGAGAGTTCCAAATAAGATGAACCGAAAGAGACCCACATCAAGACACACTGTAATTAAAGTATCAAGAGTTAAAGACAAGTAGAGATATCACCTTACCCCTGTTAGAAAGGCTATTGTCAAAAAAGACAAGAAGCAACAAGTGTTGGCAAGGATGTGGAGAAAAGGGAACCCTTGTGCACTGTTGATGGGAATGTAAATTGGTGCAGCACTATGGAAAACAGTATAGAGATTCTAAGAAAAATCAAAAATAGAACTACCATATGATCCAGTAATTCTACTTCTGGGTATTTATCCAAAAGAAATGAGAAAACTAACTTGAAAAGATATCTGCACCCACCATGTTCACTGCAGCATTATTTATAATAGCTGAGACACAGAAGCAACTTAATTGGATGGATGAATAAAGAAAATGTGGTATATTTATACAATGGAATACTATTCTGCCATAAGAAGAAATCTTGCCATTTGTGACAATATGGACAGACACTGAGGGCATTATACTAAGTGAAATATCAATAAATCAGAGAAAGACAAATAGCTTATGATGTCACTTATATGTGGAATCTTTAAAAAAAAAAACCAACTCATGATATAGAGAATGGATTGGTAGTTGCCAGAGGCAGGGGGTGGGGAAAAATAGGTGAAGGCAGTCAAAAAGTACAAACTTCCAGTTATAAAATAAATAAGTCCTGGGGATGTAATGTACAGCATGGTAAATATAGTTAAATACTGTATTGTATATTTGAAATTAGCTAAGAGTAAATCTTAAAAGTTTTCGTCACAAGAAAAAAAATGTGTATGTTAACTGGGCATATTGTGGTGACTGTTACACAATACATATATTAAATCATTATGTTGTACACCTGAAACTAATATGTTATATTTTTATTATATCTCAATTTTTTTTAAAGTTTACCATCCCTTCTGAAACACTCAATTAACTCAAAACAGCTAATAAATATTGGGCACATTTTTCTTAAATAATTACAAGAATTTTTTTTCATATGCCATAAAGTGTGGCATTAACATTTAATTCTTTTTGTCTTGCAGGTGTAAAGGGTCAAATTTTTGATCAGAATGGGACTCCATTACCCAATGTAACTGTAGAAGTTCAAGACAGAAAACATGTCTGCCCCTATAGAACCAACAAATTTGGAGAGTATTACCTCCTTCTCTTGCCTGGGTTCTATGTAATAGAGGTAAGTATACAATGCTAACTATTGTTATTAAAATATTATAGAACTCACAATACTTACTTACCTAGAAAGGATCTAAAATAAGTCTGGAAGTCCAAAAGTAGATACATCAGGACAGAATAAAAGGCCAACTTGCATTTAGCGGGGAGTCGGTGAGGTGGCAAAAATAGGAAGAAACTCAGAAAATCATGTTTTTTCCCCAACTGGCAATTTTTCAAATAGAAGCCAAATCCCATTTCGGGTGGTACCTTTTATGATAAAAAATGGAACAAACCTTATTAATAAGAATAAATAAACAATCTGGGGTGGTGGGATGAACTGGGAGATTGGGATTAACATATATACACTACTATGTATAACATAGATAACTAGTAAGAACCTACTGTATAGCACAGGGAACTCTACTCAATGCTCTGTGGTGTCCTAAATGGGAAGGAAATCCAAAAAGGAGGGGATATATACATACATAGAGCTGATTCATTTTGCTGTACAGCAGAAACTAACACAACATTGTAAAGCAACTATATTCCAATAAAAATTTAAAAACACAAAAATACAATATGGCCACAGTTCTTCCAAGCTTCATGGAATACCAGTTTAACATCTGTTCCGTGACCCATAACTTCTATTAAAAATTGATTGCGACACAAGTTCCTTAGAATTCACTACAAATAAAATTTGATCCACAAAGTTTACCACTATATTAAGTGATACATATTTTGCAGCCCGCTCATAAGCAAACGATGTTGAGTTTTCCAATCAATGCAAGTAAAATTCCAGATTTTAATTTTATTTAGATGCATGTTTTCTAAGGCTTTTCTTCCTCTAAGGACTAGTTTGAGGCTGAGTGAGTTTATGTGAATGAACTAAATGAGTAAGTATCTGATTTATTTGGCCAGATTATGACTCTTCCTCTTTGATGTGACTTTAAGAATGTCAAGATTCATCTAGTTTGCTTAGTGGGTCTAACGCCAGCCATAGTAGTCATTCCGTATAGAGCTACTCCTGAGAGAAGGTAGTCATCTATTCTGTAATAAAAACTGGCTTTGTAGTTGTTTCATCTTTAGGACATAATAAAGGGCATGGTTTTCAGTTCATAAAACTCTAGGATTAAAAACCCCCTGCTCCATAGGTTATCACCAAAGTACTCAGCACTTTGAGTGAGGGGCTCATGCTTTTCTTGAGTATCTTTCCTCCTACCGAGGACATGAATAGAACTGGGAAGACCTCAACTCACTATGAATCTTTGCCCTAAAAGACCCTTTATTTTCCTGTTATTTACTGTGACATTTTCATTCTGTGAAAAAAAAGGGTTTTCCTTATAGTGAATCTATCAACAAACTGTTTTTATGCAATCCCATAAATAAGCCACATCTTGGATATATGTATAACAGATTCACTTTGCTATGCACCTGAAACTAACAATTTGTAAATTAACTATACTCCAATAAAAAATTTTAAAAAGCCACATATTTATAGAATAAAGTTATGAATTGTTCATTTCCAATTAGACTAACTCAGCACAAGTTGGCTTTAGTTACTAGCTCTAGGACAAAAACAGAAGGTAAGAAAGACTCTGGAAGCTGAAATGAATGGCTAAAATACATGCCAATTCGTGATTACGTAAATGTTATTCTTTTCCCTCTCTACCATATATAATAAAAGCATTTCTCAGTAGCAATAGTCTTTAGTTAGTTTAGTATTTGTCATTATTTTCCTGATCATTTCCTCCACCAAAAAGATAAATCTAGCTGAAGATTCAGACTCATGGACAAAACCAGGTAAAATCAAAGCTTTTTAAAGAAGCAATAACTTATATATACACTTAGATCAGCTGCAAGGAAAATGGAATAAATTGAGAAAAAAATTCCACTTATAAATAATCTTGACACAGAATCAGGATATTAAGTACAGACTTGAGACAAAGATAAACAGTCAACTCTTTACCTTTGCGCTCCATGAAAACGATGGGGACAGAAATCAGTCTATTGCTTCTGACTTACATCTTCAGATAAAGGAACTGTCTTTATTTCACTTTGTAATTCTCAGCAACAGCATTAACAACTGCGGTCCGTATCAGTAGGCACTTGGTAACTCATTCACCGAGCAGGACTGAAGCTGTTTCTAGCCTGGGGAGACCTGGCAGGTTGTTACGTGTGTTTCATAAAGGCTGCATTTTAGTGGTGGATATCAGTGTTTTTCACTGTTGGCACCACAAAACATCTGAAATCACTCAGATAACTTTCTTGTTTCCTCTCAGGTTACAGTCCCTGGACACAATTCACATCTCACAGAGGTGACTATTCCCCCAAAATCCCAGAACTTCAGTGCTCTTAAAAAGGATATTTTACTTCCATTCACAGGGCAATTGGATCATATCCCAGAATCAGATCCTTTATGTCCTATAATTCCTCTTTACAGAGATTTGCAAGGCCACTCAGCTGCAACAAAGCCCAGTCTGTTCTTATTTTTAGTGACTCTTTTTCACATATTGTTCAAATAAAGCAGAATGTGAAACTCAACCCCCATCACCACCCGGAATCAGGGCTTACTCACGCCAGGTTACTGCAACTCTAACTCCCTCTGTGGGACCTTGACTGGATAAACTCCACGGTCCTTCCCTAAGAAGAGAAATGTTTCCAAATCCTGCAACAAGCAAAGTATGGTGATAATGAAAGGAATGATTTAGTCTTAATGATGGAAGACACCTACCCATCAAGTACTGCTCACTTACACTTAATCTTGAAGTAGTCTTAGAAATTTGTAAGAAGTTAAACTTGAGAAGCATGAAAGAAGTTCCTGCAAGAAAAAAAGGAGGTAATTTTGTATACAGAGAGCCATTTGAATATAAGCAATGAAGATGAACATTTATTGATCACCTACTATATACAAGACCTTGCCATGTGTACTATATGTGAAGAGATAGTGCCATGTATAATTCTCAGTGCAGGGAAAAATGATGATAGGACTGGGAATACTAAGTTTTGCCAACGTTCTAAGGAAATATGAGAGAAAACAGGCAACCACGTCTCAGTGGCCCAAGAAAATATGGGCCTGATGGGATGACAAATTTGTCTACTGAGCCCCAAAATAATAGGTCAATTAAGGTAAGGGTCCCTGCCTTTCTGCAACCAGATGCCACAGTCTTCTCTTATGCTGATGACCTCCAAATGCCTGAGCTTCAGACTCAGGTCTGACTGCCCACTGGACACATCTACCTGGATGTGACCCATAGATACCTCAAACTCATCATGTTGAAAAATTGAACATACTTCTCTCCCCAGAGCTGCTCTTCCTCCTGCATTCTGTCTCAGTTACTGATAGCACCAAACTAGAAACCTGGGAGTCACCCTTGATACCTCCTCCTCCTCCTCCATCCCATCTATCCAGTCAGTCACTAAAGATTGATGTTATTTGTATGTGTTGATTGATTCTACCCTCTCTTCATGGCTACTAACACCACCAGGTTTAGGCCATCATAGCTCACCTGTACCACGGCAACAACTCTACTGGTCTCTTGCTTCCAGCTTTCTCCTCTTCAAATCCAACCTCCACACAGCACTGGGGAAAGGGGTCTATTTAAAACAAAAATCAGCAATCAACTGCTTGTAGTTCCTACACACATAACACGCTGTGTGTCCCCTGTGTCTGCAATGACATTCTGACCCACTACATTTTCTTTCCCACTCCTCCTTTAAAACCCAGTTCAGGTTGTTTAATGGGTACAGAGTTTCTGTTTGTCATGATGAGAAAGTTCTGGAAATAGATAGTGATGATGGTTGTACAACATTTAATGCCACTGAATTGTATACTCAAAACTGGTTAAAATTGTAAATTTTATGTTATGTATATTATAACACAATAAAAAAAGAGGATAATGACTATTAAATATTAAAATAATGCTTCATTAGGTGCTTCATAATAATGTACTCTAGAAAGTGAAGGCTCCAAGGCATACATGCTGTGTAAATTACATATCTTACTTAGGTGAAACTCCAACAGAAACAAAGACTAGTCTGTTAAAGAGTAAACAAGTAAAATATAAAGATCAATGATGATTCCCTTAAAAAAACAACAACAACAGTTCAGGTATCAACTCCTCTGGGAAACCTTTGCTGACCATTGTCCCATTCCACTCAGTTTCACCCCCTCCCAGCCTCTTTGCTCCACAAATTAAACAGGTTACCTCTGTTGTGGGATTTATAACACTGCATTATGCTCTTCTATTTCCATGAGTGATTTTCTCTGGCAGAGTGTGAGGTCTCTGAGACCAGGGTCAATTTAATTTGTTTGAAAAACTTATTCTAAACCCTATCACATGGTGAGACCTGAATGAATGAACCAAGTGCTCCAGCAAACTGCTGCTCTTAAAACATTATATGCAAGAATTAGGGGAGGTGGGGGTATCAAACAGCAGACCAGCAACTCTGGGGAGCAGGTTTCTGAGTGCTGTGTATCGCTCATGAAAGTGAGTTGCCTTGGCTCTTATTTTAAATTGAAAGTCCTATAGGGTCTGGAAACAGAAACTGTACTGGGCTTGGTACCTGCTTGAGACCCACAAATGAAAGGGAGATACATGGGCATTTAGGAGCTATTCCTATGCCAGTTTATTCTACATGCACAAAATCATACATGTTAATATCAGCAATATTTGTAGACCTCTTTTAAATCTGGTAATAACCTAAATATCTTGATCATTTTTATTTAAATAAGTGGTAATTTATTATATACTTCAAAGTATATATTAATATAATATTGCAGAAAATGATTTTGCTAATATTACAGATAAAAGTATACAAAACTCAACTTGATTTACTATATCAAGTCCTAAACAATTTTCAGTCAGGCATTCTGAGTTCTAACTTTTCCTTTTCTAAGATAGCAATTCTGAAGGGACATGAACCAAAATCTGATTTGGTTCATGAGCCTTAATGTAAATTTCTGAAGGAAATAATGCTTTTAAAATCAGAAATTTTATCAGAATCAGACGCAAAACCATTTAGAGACAAGCAAAACAATTTAGAAAATTTCCAAACCAAATATAAACCAAACCTGAATTTAGTTCAGAGCAGGTTTGGGGTGTATTTTGCAGCAACAGCTCTGTGCTTGAAAGTGAAGTTTGCTGCAAGGATTTAGTACGGTAGAATCCCAGCTATACCCTCCACTCATCAAGTGACGTGCTCAAGAGAAAAAACGACCATGGAATTCTGACTACAGTGAGACCAGATCCCCAACACCTTTCCTACTGTTCTCCACCCTCTTAGGCTGTTGATTATGCTCCCCGGGTTCTAAGTTCAGGTGTAATTCCTTTTATAGAGAAACCAACATAGTAAAAGATTTTCAAGATAGGCGAAAAGAAGATAGCATGTATAATAGAATGATAATTAGGAGGCAGGAGCCCTGTGATTCAACCCACCACAGTTCAGTTTCCTTACCTGTAAAATGAAGGTCTCTGCTTGACTGTGATTCTATGATTATCAGTAGCAGCGGTGTAAGATGCCACACTCTGGTGCCAGTTTTGGGTACCTGCCCAGGTGGAGGAAGGATAATTAACACTCAAGAGGCATAAATATTTTGAAGGCAGTATAACTTATTAGAGACCAATAAAGAGAATTGGTCTGAAAGCTGAAACAGTGGCTAGCTAGAATGACCATTTAATAATATTTAAGGAAATGTTCATGAAATAACACAGCTTTTAACACAGCTTTTACCCACGTACCTTCTCAAATTATAATAAATGTTAACATGAATGAATTTAAATGGTGGGGAGTATTTTAGAGAAATGTTAAGTCTCTGCAGGTACTATCAGTGTTGACTTTGGTGCTTAATTTATCACAGACTTGAGCTGTTGGATGTATCAGAAATGTTAAAAAGCCACTTCTCAAATATTTCTGAAAGTCTAAGAAATCAACATTTTTGTTCTAGAAGCAAATTTGCATTTGTAATATTTCTTAAAATGGTATGAGAGGTTAGCTCTACCTTTAGAAAGTAAAAATATCTGTCACTGGATTAAAAATATCTTTTCCTAGGGAATCTAGAAAAATGAGCATAGCATATTGTCTCACTGTGACAGAGGAAGTTGCTTATTGAGAAATTTGGTTCTTATTCTACACGGTGACAATACAGTTGATGCCTATGTCATGACAGATTTAGATTGGCGGGAAGGGGAGAAAATTATGATGATTAAAGTGAAAAAAAGTTCACAGCACCTAACGTAGAAATTTGGGGAAACAGTCTAACTTCATTACAGACTTTACATTGTATCACTGATAAGCAGATATTGTACTGTATTGCTCACAAACCATTTTCTCATACTTCAGCATATGAACTACTCCATAGCCTTTTATAAATATTGCATAAGCTGATTTTATAAGTTTTCTCAGTGACTTTCTTTTGTACTATAATTAAAAACTTAAAATGCACAAATTGTCTAAGACTAAAAAGTGTTATGGGGCAGGGGCCAAGACTACCTCTGAATTCAGTAAAATCAGAATATTTCTGATTATCTCAATAAAGAATATTCCTGTAAACAACAAATGCTGTTTCTTTCCATTACATTACTTTGAAAACAAATACTTACACCAGGGTACAAAGTCCACATACCAGAGAGAACTGATTGCCATCAAATAAAGACCAAATCTAATGACCTTTTATGAGGCAATAATATTGCAATAATTCTTCAAAGCCCAGAGAGTCCTTCCAGAACAGTTTATATGATATATACCTATCCAAATTACTTTGTGCCATGGGGGAGATAATGGATGAAAAGTGTGCCTACTGGCACAAAAAACAAACACACAAAAAACACATACCACAAACACACACACACACAAAATCTTTGGAAAATTCCCAGCGCACACTACTGTAAAGGGTCTGAGAAATCAAGCAGGAAAGAAATGGATTCCCCAAACAGACTCAACCATGGAACCATTTTCTTAAATAATTTAGCCTAGTACCATCTCTTTGAACTTATATATCTAGAAATTTTGGGAAATGCTGGTATATAGGGAGGGGTCTTTTGTCTTGAATAATATTTTATTGATTTCAAAGTGCTTTTGAAACACAGAATAATAAAAAATTTGCCTCTTCTAGGAGTTGGATAACTAACAGCCCTAACCCTCATCCCTTCATCGATGCAACCTCTTAACATCGAATTTCTAGTCATAGGACAGAGAGGTTGGGCTTAAGTGTATGTCTGCCCCCTGAAACATGCTAAACAAATAATAGTTTAAATAAGCCAAGACTGAGTAGGAACTAATTTACAGGTACCAATTTCTAAAAAGTGACAAATGTCTCAATTTTGAAGATGAATTGGGGCCAGTTTTTCTATTTTCAAAAGAAAATTCATTATATAGGACCGCCTTTAGCAGGAGTTTCCTGGTATATCTTAGCTAGACTTTGATACTTTTTTTTTTTTTTTAATTTTTTGGCCGTACCGCGCGGCATATGGGATCTTCATTCCCCAGCCAGGGATCGAATTCACACCCCCTGCAGTGGAAGCGCGGAGTCTTAACCACTGGACCGCCAGGGAAGTCCCTAGACGTTGATCCTTAAATTTGCAGCTCCTTATAGCGTTTATTACTCCCTATGCCACCGTCCAAAGCAAAGTACAAATGAACTAAATTTTAAACTATTAACATAGAGGGGAAAAAAGTAAAAGAAGATAAACTGTAAAAAGGATTAGTCAGCTTTTTGGTTGGTAGTATGTTTTCGTTTTTTCCTACTTCATTTTTGAAATTTTCTACTAACTACTTTTAGAATGAAAGAAAAGCAACTGATTTAAAAAATGAAACCTCAGGGCTTCCCTGGTGGCGCAGTGGTTGAGAGTCCGCCTGCACCAGCGTACACAATTGCTACACCTTCTTACATATTCATTGAAATTTCCAGATCTTGAAATAATAGTTTATAAACTTAGCTCACTTAAACTTTTCCCTAATTGATCAAGAACATGTTCTTCAACACTAACATATAGCATTTTTACACAGTGTTTGTCTCATGAAGCCCTGAAGGGTGAATAGTGAAGGATTTCAGGACCAAAATGTGTAACAACTCCCATTCTTTCTTTGCTTTCTAGCCCAGCAATCTGTCTTCCAGGAGTATTCTGTACTTACTGTTAGGAATCTACCTACCAGTAGTTAGGAGCTGACGGTTGCCTTCCGAGAACTCCCAATGCGGTGCTTCCACCTGGTGGTTAAAGTGCTTAACTACAGAGACCTGGTCTCACATGCCTCTTAAAAAAGAAAAATGAACGATTGTGAGAAAAGGTGAAAAAAAAGTATTTTTTTAAAATACAGAGGGCTGTTCTGTTTTTAAGAAAAGCTTTCCCAATTCTATTACAAGTCTGATACCATATCAACTTTTAAAGACCACTCTTTCCTTAAAATGTTTCTCTTTTGCCATTTAAGTAATTTATTGCATGGACATTTTTTCAGGATGATTCTTACAACTGTCTTGTCCTCTTGTAAATTAGAGAAAACTGCACAGCTGATTTCCTTGCCAAGCAACATCCTTTACTGAATGCCTACTGTGCACACAATGCATTATATGAGGCACCTGGGGGAATAAGACAACACAAAAGGATGTTACAATCTGCTATTGAAAGATACAAAGCAGCAAGGCAGTGAATTTAAGTGTGAACAGAGTACCAGGCAACGTGGGAAAAAAAAGGGCGGGGTGAATTCAAGTCTAGCTCAGTGGGTTTATGGTCATGAATGGATGCAAGAAGGATATTAAACGACTTCTGGTCCTTCCCACCCGCCAGACTCCAGGCTCTATGCATTTATTGTCTCTAATTCTAAGGCCACTAAGCAGGTAAGTACCAGATCTGCTATTTTGAATTTAGCCTGTCCCAGTCCACTAGGATGAAAATTAAAAGTCTTGAGAGACTCAGGAGGCCTATGACCTTTGTTGCAGCAAGAAAGATGAGAGAAGAGAGTGGTGAAAAGAAAGCACCTGTTCCACAGACAGCTGTAAAAGTAAAATGATCAGGCAAACATCTGAGATAATGTCCAACAAGCAGTGAAATTATTGAAGGTTTTTTTAAAAATATTTAAATCAGGGAAGCAACACGAAGATATCTGTAAATTATCTATAAATGAACCAAAAAAAAAAAGGTGAAGTCAATTTAGGCAGATGTTACTGTGATCTTGGAAGAAGGCCTAATACAGGGTATTGCCTGGAAAGGTGTGGACCAAAAATAAGCACATAAAAATACTAAAACTTAACTGAGAAATAAATGAAATTCACCTAACATGACAGTAACAAAAAATGTTTTGAAAAAGTTGCAATTTTGAATATGAAAGATATTTTGATAAGCTGACTTCAAGTTGTTGGGTGAACACATAAATAGTTGTATTCTGAAGGCAGATGTATAGGACTGAAAGGATGAGAGGGCAATGTTGGGAATTCCCTGGTAGTCCAGTGGTTAGGACTCAATGCTTTCACTGCCATGGGCCCGGGTTTCATCCCTGGTCAGGGAACTAAGATCCCGCAAGCCGCGGCAAAAAAAAAAAGAGAGAGAGAGAGAGAGAGAGAGAGAGAGAGAGAGAGAGAGAGAGAGAGAGAGAGAGAGGCAATGTCTATCAATTTTTTTAAATAGGAATGTTTTAGAAGAGTGATAAGAATTCAAGTATGTTTTAGGATCACCACCCTCCTAAAAACAATCAATTATGGTTCTCTTATCCAAAATAATATTCTAACAATATTTTAATATATAATTTCAAATACATTACCTGCTAGTAAATTACTAAACACACGTGGAGTCTCCCAACTGCTTGTCACTTCACAATGCCCTTGTTCTATTTTCTGTTGCTTTTTGCTAGTTCCTGTTAACAGTTCATTTTACAATTTGTTATTATAATTAAACATTTCTGAGCACCTTCTAAATGTGCTGGTGCTTTCAGATAATTATCTTTTTAAAGCAGTATTTGTAAATGTCAAAAATTCCCTATCATATCTAATTGAAAGCTGGCTGCACGATAGACAATATGGCTACAAACTTTTAAACAACTGGTACTTTTAAAAGAAATAATTATTAAGAAATAATTTTTTATAAATACTAAATCAAAACCCAATTCAGAATCCACATAACCAGAAAATGCAACTACCAACTTTTCACAATACAATGAATGACTACTTGCAGTTATTGTCATCAGCCTACAGACCTAAACACTAATCAGTACCTTTAAAACATTTATTAAAATTAGAAATCTAAATTATGCCAACAACTAACCCTGGTTTAGCTTTGGGACCCACAATCTCCTGCTTTTAAAGCCAGCTTCAAGACTCAAGTCCCAGTGCTTCGATTCATTCAATAAACTCTTATTGAGCACCTGTATGTGTATCACAATCAAGAAGATGGTCTTGGCTTCATGGAATTTAGTTTCATAGATGACACAGAGAAGTTACAGGCAATTACGATAGGGTTTTTCATGCTGACAAGTGACAGGGTAGCTAACTCTAGTCCCATCCATGCACTAGCTACATCCCTTCCAGACTGTTCAGAACTATCACGTGTTGAGAAACCACTTAAGCCAGGCTGCCATATGGTAACACAAGTGAACAGGATAGGGAGACAACAGCATTTCGTGGCCCTACTAAATTGTAACATCATTCTCTCATGTTGGTCTTATTCGATGCCTTAGAGGCTCCCAACTGCCCATATATGTGTACTTCCAAAGTGGGCAGGCATGGCCCTTCCAAAGAAAAAGCAGCATATTCAGACTACTGCCTTTGATTATCCAAATAGGTGATATTCAAATATAATTTTTATTTTAACAAAACTAATTATAATGGGGGAGAAATGTGGCCAAGATGGCAGAAAAGGGAAAACCCTGAGCACACCTCCTCCCATGGGCACACCAAAATTACAACAGGGAAACTACTGATGAGAAAAACTGGAACTAGCAGAAAAGATCTTCAACCGAAGATATAAAGAAGGAACCACAATGAGCAGGGTAAGAGGGGTGGTGACGTAGTATAGTCAAAATCCATACCACGGGTGTGTCACCCACCAAGGAGCGAGTGGTCAGCCCCACATTGGGCTCCCCAGCCCGGGGAGTCCTGCACCAAGAGGATGAGCCCCTAGAACGTCTGACTTTAAAGGCCAGCAGGGCTTACTTTTGGGAGAGCCAGAGGACTGTGGGAAATAGAGACACCACTGATAAAGGTGCACACAAACTCTCACATCCTCCAGGACCCAGAGTATAAGCAGTAATTTGAAAGGAGCATCAGTCTCACCATCTGATCTTGGAGTCTCCTGGAGAGGTAGGAGGCAACTGCAGCTCACCCTGGGGACATAGACACTGGCAGCAACCATCTTTGGGAGTTTGCTCTACCACATGAACACTGCTGGCAAGTGCCATTTTGGAGTCCTTGCTCTAGCTTATTGGCCTTGGGATCCAGCCCCTCCCACCAGCCCGTGGTTATCAGTACTGGGATGCCTCAGCCCAAGCAACCAACCAGGTGGAGAGACAGCCCCACCCACCATGAGGCCTGCCGCCTTAAGATCCCCTGAGCCCACAGTCAACCCAGGACCTGGCTCTGTCTACCAGAGGCCTCAGACCCTGACCCTGCCTACCAATGGGCTGGCACTAGCCACAGGACCAGGCTCACCCACCAGTGGGTAGACACCAGTCCCGGGATCCCATGGGCACCAGCCCTACCCACCACCAGGCCAAAACACCAACTCCAGGACCCCCAGGACACTGCAGCTAAAGACCCCAGGACCTGGATCTGCCAACCAGTGAGCCAGCACTAGCCCCAGGACACCCTGGGCCTTGGCCCTGCCCACCATGAGGTGGACACCAGCCCCAGGACCACTTCAGCCCTGCAGCCTACAGTATCAGGACCCAGCCCATCCACCAGTAGGCCTGCACCAGTCACAAGACCCTTTGGGCCCTGGTCCTGCCCAAGAGCAGGCCAAAATCAGCTCTGGGACACCTTGGGACCCTCAGCCAGCTGGTCCAGGATCCAGCCCCACCTACCAGCAGGACACCAGCTCTAGGACCCTTAGGGCCCTGCAGCCGGAGACCTGGGAATGCAGTTCTGCCCACCAGTGAGCTAGCACTAGCTCCAGCACTGTCTACCCGCAGGCCAACACCAGCCCCAGAAACCCCCAGGCCCCAATCCCACCCACCAGCAGGCAGACACCAGCTCCAAGACCCTTTGGACCCATTAGCCAGCTGCCCCAGGCTCCAGCCCCATTCACCAGTGGGCCAACACCGGCTTTGGGACACCTCAGACCCAGCAGCCAGCTGTGTCAGGAACTGGCTCCACCTACCAGCAAGCCAACATTAGATCCAGGACACACTCCCCCACCTCCATCCATAACCATCCACTCTAGTACCTGGCTCCACTCACTAGTGGATTAGCTGGAGCCCAGGATCCCCCAGGGCCCCATAGCCAGCAACCTTGTAATCCAGCCCTACCCACCAGCAGATGGCAGCCTCTGCACAAGGCAGGGCTTGGAAACCAACCAGAACAGGGCCAGCCACACCCACCAGATGGCCCATAGTAATCAGCCCACCACAACAGAAGGGTTCAAGAAGCCCAAATAGGGGGCACCCTTAGAGCACCCCTGGCCCTAGTCACCAGGTAATGATCATAATGATGTTCAGAACTTTAGATAAAGTTCTATGGGTGAACAGAGCAAAAAGTTATACAGTTTTAACGAAGAGTTAGAAAATATAAAGAAGAGCCTAACAGAGATGAAGAATACAATAACTGAAATGAAAAATACACTAGAAAGAATCAACAGTAGATTAGATGGTACAGAGGAATGGATCCACAAGCTAGAAGACAGAGTAGTGGGAAACACTGGAGCTGAACAGAAAAAGCAAACAGACAAGCAAACAAATAAAAAGAAATTAGGACAATCCCAATGTTCATAGCAGCATTATTTACAATAGCCAAGATATGGAAGCAACCTAAGTGCCCATCAACAGACAAATGGATAACTAAGATGTGGTATATATACAATGGAATACTACTCAGCCATAAAAGAGAATGGAATTTTGCCATTTGAAACATGGATGGACTTGAAGGGTGTTATGTTTAGTGAAATAAGTCAGAGAAAGCCAAATAATGTATGATATCACTTATGTGTATAATCTGAAAAATAAAAAAAACTTGTGAATGTAACAAAAAGAAACAGACTTACAAATAGAAACAAGCTAGTGTTTACCAATGGGGAGAGGGGAGAAGGAAGAGGGGAGGGGCAAGACAGGGGTAGAAGATTAACAGGTACAAACTACTATGTATAAAATAAATAAGCTACAAGGATATATTGTGCAGCACAGGGAATATAGCTAATATTTTGTAACTATAAATGGGGTATAATCTTTGAAAATTGTGAATCACTGTTTTATACCTGAAATTTATACTGTACATCAACTATACTTCAATTAAAAAAAAAAAAAAGAAAATGAGGCGTTTAAGAGACCTGAGGGACATCTAGTATACCAACATTCACATTATAGGAGTCTCAGAAGGAGAAGAGAGAAAGGGGCAGAGAATATATATGAGGACATAATAGCTAAAATCTTCCCTAACCTGGGAAAGAAAACAGACATCCAGGTGCAGGAAGCCCAGAGAGTCCCATATAGGATCAACCCAGAGGACCACACCAAGACAAAAACTGAATGGCAGGACTTCCCTGGTGGTCCAGTAGGTAAGACTGCACACTCCCAGTGCAGGAGGCCCGGGTTCAATCCCTGTTCGGGGAACTAGATCCCATATGCATGCCACAACTAAGAATCTGCATGCCACAATTGAAAGTCCACATGCTGCAACTAAGAAGTCCACATGGAACAACTAAAAAAGAAAATAATAATAAGATCCCACATGCCACAACTAAGAGTCAGTGCAGCCAAAATAAATGAATAAATGATAAATATTTTTAAAAATTAAAGATAAAGAGAGAATATTAAAGGCAGCAAAGGAAAAGCAACTACTTATGTACAAGGGAATTCCCATAAGGCTATAAGCTGACTTTTCAGTAGAAACTGCAGGTCAGAAGGGAGTGGCACAATATACTTAAAGTGATGAAAGGGAAAAACCTACAACAAAAAATACTCTACCAGGCAAGGCTTTCAACTTGAGGGTGAGATCAAAAATTTAACAGACAAGCAAAAGCTAAAAGAGTTCAGCACCAGCAAACCAGCTTTACAAGAAATGTTAAAGGGACTTCCTAAGTGGAAAAAAGAAAAAAGAAATGCCACAACTAGAAAAATGGAAATTACAAAAGGAAAAATCTCATTGGTAAAGACAAATATACAGTAAAGGTAGTCAGTCAACTATGTACAAAGCTAGTAAGAAGGTTAAAAGACAAAAGTAGTAAAACTCTATAACCACAATAAGTAGTGAGGGGATACACACAAAAAAAAGATGTAAAATGTGATGTCAAAAACAGTTAACATGGGGGGGATGATTAGTAAAAATGCAGGATTGTTGAAATGCATTTGAACTTAAGAGATCAGCAACTTAAAATAATCATAGATAGGTAGGTAGATAGACAGGCACACAGATATAGATACCTCAAGGTAACTAGAAACCAAAAACCTATAATATAAACACACAGAAAAAAGGAATTCAAACATAACATTAAAGAAAGTCTTCAAATCACAAGGGAAGAGATCAAAAGAAGGACCAAAAACAACTATTAAAAACAACCCCAAAGCAGTTAACAAAATGGCAATAAGTACATACCTGTCAAAAATCACATTAAATGTAGATGAACTAAATGCTCCAATCAAAACACATAAAATGGCTGAACAGCTACAAAAACAATACCAATATATATGCTGCCTACAAAAGACTCACTTCAGATCTGAACATACAAACTGAAAGTAAGGGGATGGAAAAAAGTATTCCATGCAAATGGAAATTAAAAAAACAAAAATAAAAACGAGGTAGCAGTACTTACATCAGACAGAATAGATTTGAAAATAGTCACACGAGACTAAGGACAATACATAATGATAAAGGGATAAACCTAAGAAAAAGATACGTAACAGTTATAAATGCCCCTAACATAGGCGCACCTAAACACATAAAGCAGGGACTTCCCTGGTGGCACAGTGGTTAAGAATCTGCCTGCCAATGCAGGTGACACGGGTTCACGCTCTTCTCCGGGAAGATCCCACATGCCGTGGAGCAACTAAGCCCATGCACCACAACTACTGAGACTGCACTCTAGAGCCCACGAGCCACAACTACTGAGCCTGCCTGTCAAAACTACTGAAGCGGGGCTTCCCTGGTGGTGCAGTGGTTGAGAGTCCGCCTGCTGATGCAGGGGACACAGGTTCATGCCCCGGTCCAGGAGGATCCCACATGCCGAGGAGTGGCTGGGCTCGTGAGCTATTGCCGTTGGGCCCGCACGTCCAGGGCCTGTGCTCTGCAACGGGAGAGGCCACAGCAGTGAGAGGCCCGCGTACCTCAAAAAAAAAAAAAAAAAAAACTACAGAAGCGGGCTTCCCTGGTGGCGCAGTGGTTGAGGGTCCGCCTGCTGATGCAGGGGACACGGGTTTGTGCCCCAGTCCAGGAAGATCCCACATGCTGCAGAGCGGCTGGGCCCATGAGCCATGGCTGCTGGGCCTGCGTGTCCAGAGCCTGTGCTCCGTAACGGGAGAGGCCACAACAGTGAGAGGCCTGCGTACCGCAAAAAAAAAAAAAGAAAAACAAACTACTGAAGCCCGCTCGCCTAAAGCCTGTGCTCTGCAACAGAGAACACCGCAGCGAGAAGCCTGCGCACCGCAACGAAGAGTAGCCTCCACCAGCCACAATTAGAGAAAGCCCGTCTGCAGCAACAAAAGACCCAATGCAGCCAAAAATAAATAAATAAGTAAATAAATTTATTTTTAAAAAAACACATAAAGCAATATTAACAGACATAAAGGGAGAAACTGACAGTAATACAGTAATACTAGGTAGGCCTTAAATGACATATTAGACCACGTGAACTTAATAGATATATACAGAACATTTCATCCAAAAGCCACAGAATACATTCTTTTCAAATGCACAAGGAATATGCTCCAGGACAGATCACATACTAGGCCACAAAACAAGTCTCCATAAATGTAACAAAACTGAAATCATATCAAGCATCTTTTCTGACCACAATCAACTATAATAAAAAAAACTGCAAAAAACACAGCCCCAAAACAATGAACAAAATGGCAATAAGTACATACCTATCAATAATCACATTAAATGTGAATGTGAGGCTAACCAATATGCTACTAAACAACCAACGGATCACTGAAGATATCAAAAAAGAAATTTAAAAGTACCTGGAAACAAATGAAAACAAAAACACAACAATCCAAAACCTATGGGATGCAGCAAAAGCAGTTCTAAAAGAAAAGTTTACAGTGACACAAGCCTACCTCAGGAAAGAAGAAAAAACCTGAAATAAACAACCTAATCTTACACCTAAAGGAACCAGAAAAGGAAGAACAAATAAAACCCAAAGTTAGTAGAGGGAAAGAAATCATAAAGATTAGAGCAGAAATAAAAGAAATAGAGACTAAAAAAACTACAGAAAAGATTAATGAAACTAAGAGCTAGTTCTCTGAAAACAGAAACAAAATTGATAAACCAGGCTTGACAAGAAAAAAAAAAAGGGAGCCCAAATCAATAAAATCAGAAATGAAAAAGAAGTTACAACTGACACCACAGAATTACAAAGGATCATAAAAGATTACTACAAATAATTATACACCAATAAAATGGACAACCTCAAAGAAATGACAAATTCCTAGAAAAGTACAATGTCCTCAGAATGAACCAGGAAGAAATAGAAATTATGAATAGACCAATTACCAGTAATAAAATTGAATCAGTAATGAAACAACTCCCAAAATACAGAAGTCCAGGACCAGATGGCTTCACAGGTGAATTCTACCATTTAGAGAAGAGTTAACACCTATTCTTCTCAAACTATTCGAAAAACTGCAGAGGAAGGAACACTTCCAAACTCATTCTATGAGACCAGTATCATCCTGCTACCAAACCCAGACAAAGATATCACAAAAAAAGAAAGTTGCAGGCCAATATCATTTATGAACACAGATGCAAAAATCCTCAACAAAATATTAGCAAACTGAATTCAACAATTCATTGAAAGGATCATACACCAGGATCAAGTGGGATTTATACCAGGGACGCAAGGATGGAACAATATCCACAAATTAATCAATGTGATACACATTAACAAAATGATGAAAAAAAAATCATATGATCATCTCAAGAGATGTAGAAAAATTTGACAAAATTCAACATATCCATTTATGATAAAAACTCTCAACAAAGTGGGTATAGAGGGAACATATCTCAAAATAATAAAGGCCATATATGACAAGGCCACAGCTAATGTCATACTCAATGGTGAAAAGGCGAAAGCATCTCCTCTAAGATAGGAACAAGACAATGATGCCCACTCTTGTCACTTTTACTCATCACAGTATTGGAAGTCCTAGTCACAGCAATCAGATAAGAAAAAGAAATAAAAGGAATCCAAACTGCAAAGAAAGAAGTAAAACTGTCACAGTTTACAGATAACATGATACTACACATAGAAATTCCTGGGAATTCCCTGCCAGTCCAGTGGTTCGGACTCGGCGCTCTCACTGTCAGGGTCCTGGGTTCAATCCCTGCTCAGGGAACTAAGATCCTACAAGCCGCATGGCACACCAAAGAAAAGAAAATCCTCAAGACACCACCAAAAACTACTAGAGCTCATCAATGAATTTGGTAAAGTTGCTGGAGACAAAATTAATATACAGAAATCTTCTGCATTTCTATATGGTAACAATGAACAATCAGAAAGAGAAATTAAGAAAACAATCCCATTTATAATTGCAACGAAAGGAATAAAATACTTAGGATAAATCTAATGGGTTACAGATGCTCAACATCACTAAA